GCAAAATCTATAAGCCGTTTGAAAAATACAACCATTTTGGATTTAATGCAATTTAAAAAAATGCATTCGAATATATGCATAAATAAATTAAAACTTCATAATTTTTAATCTACCAAACATAAATGCATTATTTTTGTGGGTTATATCCACTCTTATATTTTTGAGTTTCGGGTAAAAACGTAATTTTGGGAATTTTTTTTAAACTGTAAACTTAAACCGCTATAACTTTGACGGCTTTTGCTAAAAGTTATTCACGAGAAGATAATTGTACTTCTAAGATGTTAGACAATGTCCACACAAAATATCGTTAATGTGATATTAAAAAAATTTCATATTTTTTTTAACCTCAAAATCTAAATTAAAAAGAGACTTTCCCATATAACATTTGTAAATATCAGGTACAATTAAATCCAAATGCAACCCATAATAATTAGTTTGTAGCAGTCCATATTTATTTAACAGTATTTTATTATATTTTTATTATTTAAAACTATATTTAAAACCTAATGTTTGTTTAAAATACAACCCTTCCACTAAATTTAATACTTTTGAATTTAACGTTTGCTTAAAATGAATTAACTATTGTTTAATATTCTGACTTTCACATTGCAAAGAACATTGTCCAGACTTTTTAGTACCGGACGTGCAATTTCAATTGAAAAAAAGATAAAACCTACTAGTTTATTTTTAAAGTGAATAAATATCGTTTTATTTTAAATCCGATTTGTGTTTTTTTGATGAACGTTTACAATCTTCGGAATAAGATTGTCTCAAGTTGTAATTAGCTAATTATTTTTGATCTTCTAAAAAAATTTCAAGTCAATATCTCAATTAGATTAAAAAATATATCCATTTTCATAACTTAAACTCGAATACTTTTTAGCTATGCCTGAGTCAATTTTTATCCCGATCAGACTAAGCGTTTAGAAATGCCAGATTTATTTCCAAAAAATGCCCATTCTGCCCTACTGTGATGGAAAGTAACGTTATCCTTGGACCATTTTCTCTCAAAATTTAAATTTCAAGAAGGTTTGCAACCCGATCCAAATCGTATATCAGTCATTCAAGGAATGCCTGAATCAACAAACATTACAGAAATTCGTTCATTTCTCGGAGCTATAAAATCAAATGTAAAATGCCAGTGGAATCACGCTCATAACAAATGTTTTCTTTAATAAAAAGAATTTCCTTCGTCAAAAGTATTATTGTTGCGGCAGATGCCTCCAACAATGGTTTGGGAGCATGTATCCTTCTGGAATTTGCAGACGAAGGATTAAAACTATAAGTCACGCCGAAAAATCGTATAGCCAAATAGAAAAAAAAAGCTTTGGCATTGGTCTTTGCAGTAACGCAAAAAAATAAGAAATGCAAACATATATCCATCATATGTTACATTGTTGTTAGCAGCAAAAAAATGTTATCCTCTCGGAGTCGAAATTACTGATAGGTCTGCAGAAGTGCCTTTGCAGAGCTTGGTTGTCCATACTGTAAAGAGGATAGTTGAATTGCAAAACGAGTGTTTTATGAATATCAATGAAGATCCAATTACAGCTATATATAAATGGGGATGTAATGGCAGTATTGGACATTTCACTTATCGGCAACGATTTTCTGACGCTGATTCGCTTCGAATAGATGAAAACATATTTGTTGTGTGCATTGTGCCATTGCAAATAAAAATAGGGGATGTTATTCTTATTAGTTGATATTCCTAGGTCTGGGTCAGGAAACACTAATAACGGTAACACTGCAAGAAGATTTTTTCAAGAGCCAAATTTAGCTGCTATTTGGACCGGAGTCAATGTAGAATTAATAAGCAGATTTCGTGTAATTTTACGAACTATGTCGTGCGGGTATAAAGTTAATACACATGCATTTCAAATGTATTGTATACAAACAGCAGAAATATATGTTCCGCCATGGTTTTATATGCCGTCTTCCGTGCACAAAATTTTAATTCATGGTGCCGATATTATAAACCACGTATCTCAACCAATAGTTATGATGTCTGAAGAAGCTCAGGAATCGAGAAATAAGAATCTAAGGAATTTTAGGGAACAACATACACGAAAAAACACAATGGAAGATTTGATGCATTCACTTCTCTTCTGATCCTCTTATTTCCTCGATCTCTAAGCGCCCTTCTTTATATTCCCTAAACCAAATAATAGTAAATAATGACGTCCAAAACTTACTTTTAGAACAAAATATACAGGAAACATTTTTGCCTTAAAATTATGTATCAATTGTGCAATTTTTTTAACTAAATTATTAATATAAATAAAATGTGTTTACAATTTACTTTTTTATACTTTTCCAAGTGAAACAAAAATAAATAATTATGTTTCAACGCTGTTTTAAATTAAATGACGCCAGAATGCGTATTTCGACCACTGTGCCTTTGGACTTGTGCATGCATATTATACAATTGGATTGTCAATACCATTTTTTAATTTGTTCATTAAATAAAATAAAAATATTTTTAAAAATTAATATTTAATACAAATACCTTCAACCATTTAGGAAATTTCTTTTATAATAAAATAACAGTTAGTTGTAAAATCGACATTTCAACAAATAAGAGTTTAGTATTCGCCTTCTAATAATCATATTTACAATGCTGTTGTTGGTTTTTTCATCACTTTTTTGATGAAATTTTCAGAGGTTGTCACGGATTTTTGTTAATATCTCCGTTATTTATGGACGGATTTTGATTTTAAATAGAAAACTTCTCGAAAGCATGTCTGACATTATTGAAGATTTGGATCCCGAAGGTATCTTGGGTCTTCAGAAAATTGATTTCAACAAATTGATTGATTGATTGCAGAAAAAAACAAAGTATTTGTATTATACAATTTCAAAATAAATCACTAGCGGTTATTAACAACATAGTGGAGGACGTCCGACTTAGAAAGAAACCGAATTTGCAATTAGAAAACTAATTGCAAATTCGGTTTATTCAAAGGGAAATAAACCAACGTTTTAAAAGGTAAAACATAATAATATTGAACGTATAGCATTCCCAAACATTCAAAATTACCCAACGTAAGTACAAATTTGTGTGTATGATTAAGAACCAATTTTCAGGTGAACGATTAGCTATTAAATTAGTATTAATCTTTGTTGTTTCTGAATACTCGATTAGTTAATTTTCTCTACTATGTAGTTCAATAGCCCAATGTGCTATTATTTGGGCAAGAAATGATAAATTGTTAAAATCTCACTGTGGTCCCAAATACCAAAAGCGTGTTTTTGCAATAAGGGACCAATCGCACATTTTGGAACTTGTAAAAGAAATGAAATAATTTTCTTTAATATTTGATGATTTTATGTATTTTTTAAATTCTTAATATGACGTTGATTTACCATTCCGTTCAGAAAAAATATATGCAAACTGATATAAATTCGATCATCTATAACATGTTGAATGTAGGACACTTTGGATATGCACAGTGTTATCAGACAGTTGACTAATTGTTGACCATATTTCCTGCAATTATTTTTATACCCTTCACCTTCGTGAGAAGGGTATATATAAGTTTGTCATTCCGTTTGTAATTTCTATAGTATTTCGTTTCATATGTTTGGATGGCTGTGTGTTTCAATGCCTTGTGTATATTGTTTTTGTTTCTTGATGTATTCAGTTTCGTATGTTTGGATGCTGTTGGTTTTACTGCCTTGTGTATTTTGTTTTTTGTGTGGTTATTTCGTTTAGCGCTGTTGTTGTTCATTTTGTTTTGCTATTGCTATAATAATGATATACGGCTGTATTTATAAAAACTTATTTTAGGTTTATTAAACGATTTTAGGCAAAATTCAGGAAAATCGTATTTATAAACGTGAAATAGCTTAAAACACCTTCAATAAACCATTGACAATTAGAAGAATTTTATTGTAGGCTCGACCCTTCTTTAAGCCAACAATAAGTTGATTTTTAACAATTTTTTTCTCAGATAAAGATTTTTCCGGTAATTTTAGGTTGATTGCGAAAACTAATTATGGTTTCTTTTAAAATAAAATCTAAAAATTCTAATTTTAACGTTTACAAATTTGTAAATAAAATCCCAGAAAATTTTTAAACGATTATATTTTGAGGAAAAAACTCAAATCTATTCATTATTGGATTAATGCATGAATATTTGACAATATTCCAATTGCCCAGCACTATTTTTAGGCAATTTGGAAATGCCCGTCTGTCAACCAAATGATGGACAAAATCATTTGATTTGGCTTTTTCAAAGTTTGTTGGTTAAATATAATGCCATAAAGTATTTAACCATGTAAATTATATTGATTAGTGTTATACTAATGCAAAATATATTCGCCGGCATTAAAATTAGTCAAATATCAAAGAAATTTATCAATATTTGCAAAAATTTATCAAAAATTACAAGGAAAATAAGTAAAAATAAGAAAATGTGTCATAGTGATGTATATTTTGTCGCAAAATATCCGTTATTCGGATACTTTTAATAATAATTATAAATTATATGTTATATTTATACATCTGAACTAAATAGACATTTATTAAAGCCATATATATATTTATTTTTCTTAAAAGTTTGTTTTTATTGTCAAAAATCTATTATAAACAAAAATATGAAATTAAGAAAACCGAATCAACGAATATTTTATCTTAATTGTACGCAACACTAATACATAAAATGACAGCCATATTGTACAGTGCTGCCAACTTAAACATAAATCAGCACAATAGTTAATATACGTTTATTATTTGTTTATGAATATCACAATTTTATTAATGGTTTTTAAGGCTAAAGTGTGCTTTAACTATTGAGTGCATTAAAAGCAAAATAAGATTTTTTTATAAATAAAAGCGATAGTCCAGAAAATGATATAAATATAAACTTTATGAAATTGTTATTTATTAAATACACAATGGTGAAGGGTATATAAGATCCGGCACAGCCGAATATAGCACTCTTACTTGTTTATTGTAATTTCAGCAGTTATTTAATTCCTAAATTAATTACTTTCAGGTATGTCGCCGTCGAATGCTTTGACTCAGTAAATAAGTCGGTGAAAGACTCATTAGATGTTCTTCAAAACCTGCAATGTGCTGAAGAGCCTAATATTCCTCTAATCGAGGCACAGTTTCCAGATGTTTCACAGATTTGTGCGCGTATAAAAAATTATGAATTTCCAATGAACTCGTTAATGCAGCGAAACGACAACATAAGCCAACGTTTAATATCACGAAAAGCATTTGCTGTTAAAATGATCGACGAACATTGCATCATCTCAGTCCAACATTTACGCAAACTTCTATTGGAACACGAAAAAAGTAAAGGTTTAAAAGACGAAGTCTGTCAGAAGTCTATCAAACGGATGTTATATCAAATGAGTCAAAGCAATATTATTCGCATGTATGAAATTGTGCTGCAGCGAGAAGAAAATATTCGTATTTATCGTTATGTGACGCATCCGAAAATAGACATTGAACATATCGCTCTTAAAAACGAAATTTTAAAACTAAAAAACAGCCTTTTCTTATTGCTGGAAGAGAAGAGACATAGGCTATTGAGTTCTCGACGCCATCAGAATCGAAAAATAAAAACTTCGAAAAAATTAAAGTCTGCTGAAACTAAACTTAATAAAAATACTTTGATACCATTGAAAAGTCACAAACCGCCAAAGTTTTTAATATCCAGATATATGCATGAATTTTTATTTTATATTGTAGTTGAACTGAACGAATGCCAAATGCCTCTAGAAATTACTAAAGAATTGCTTCAAACGTGGCAGGTATCTGAGCCGTCTCTCCGCATTGATGAGTATTTGGAACAATTGGAGCCAGAATATGTAAATATGAAAGCATATACCAAGTACATAACTTGGCGAACGTTTATACCACCATTGCCGAGATATTCCGATAAGCCAGCTGGATGGGTGTATTTTATTGATGCAATGGATCGTATGCCTTTATCTATATTTAATAAAATTTTTCGCATTGATAAGGGAGCAGATGAAAGACTGTCAGCATTTTTGAGTCATCCTGTTCGTCAGCACTATTTAATGCGTCAATTACCCTCCGATTTGCAATGTAAAATTAGCCGGGTACAATTACAGCGTGTCTACGCATCCGTGTTAAAGCTTCTCAATCACATGGGTTTAATACAGGTACATATATACACTAGAGTGTACACATAAAAACTTTACATTTTTGTTAAAATTTTACATTTTATTAAATAATTAGTTATGTACGTTATTTAAAAGTACACAGAATTAGCGTTTCAGAAGATATAAAGAACCAAAATTTGTTAAAAAAATTAAATTTATTGCAAATTCTCGAAATTTATAACTTAAAACAAGTAAGAGTGCTATATTCGCCTGTACCAAATCTTATATACCCACCATTAAATTATGTGTCTTAAATTTCAAGTGAATTTTGTATAAATCGATGTTTTTGCTACCACAAAAATGGATTTTTGTGAACTGATTTATCATATATAAATAGTAGTATAGTCAGGGTGATGGTAGTACTTATTTTATCATATTTAATAATTTTTTTTAATGATTTGATTTCCTGTAAATTTACTTATGGTCAATTTTGGTCCGATCCTCCGAAGATTTTACAAAGATTTTGGTTTCAGTAAAACATGTTATGTCGAATATCAATGCTTTCAAAGCCTCATATGAAGGCTTTGATACAATATGGCCCGATGCTCATAATATTTGACAAAAAGACTTTAGATCCTATGAAACTAGTTCATGACGAGTTTTATCGATATACTAATATTTTTAAGCCAGTTATGGCCGTTAATGTCATACTATGAGAAAGGCCGTTGATAGGGGAATGATTTTAGATCCTATAAAACTAGTTCATGATGAATTTTATTGACATACTGGTATTTTTGAGACAGTTATGGCCGTTAATGTCATTCTACGAGAAAGGCCGTTTATAGATGATAAGGTCAATCATGGACCGATCCTCCAAAAACAGTTAGAACAATGTTCCTATAAAACTTTTTTATGTCGAATTTCGTTGCTTTACTATAATTTAAAAGAAGTTGTTTTTGTCGAATTTCGTTGCTGAATTTCGTGGTTTCCATAAAATATTTTAATGTCAATTTCGTTGATATACTGGAATTTTATGAGAGAAACCTTACATGGGGGGTAAGGTTAATTACGGGCCGATCTCCATAAAATTTGGCAGACAGGTTTTAGTTCTCCGAAATCTTATTTATGTTGACTTTCGTTGATTTACTGGGATTTTGAACAAAGTTATGAGTTTTAAAGTAATTTTATGATGGGAACCTTATATGAATTTCGTTCCTTTACTATAATTTTGCAACAAGTTATGAGCGTTATTGTTATTTTATGAAGGAACCTTATATCGGGGGTAGTTCAATTATGAACTGATCTTCATATAATTTGGCAGAGAGATTTAAGTTCCTCTAAAACTTATTTATGTTGACTTTCGTTGATTTACTGGGATTTTGAACAAAGTTATGAGTTTTAAAGTAATTTTATGATGGGAACCTTATATGGGGCGTAAGGTCAAATATGGGCCGATCCCTAAAAAATATGGGGGAGATATTTTAGTTCTGCAAAAACTTGTTTACGTTGAATTTCGTTGCTTAACTATCATAAACAAGTTATAAGAGTTAAAGTCATTTTCTGAAGGGCAGCTTATATGAGGGGTAGGGTAAATTATGGGTCGATTTACAAAAAAATTAGCAGAGATATTTGTGTTTCCCTAAAACTTGTATATGTCGAATTTCGTTGCATTGCTATCTTTTTGAAGCAAGTTATGACCGTTATAGTGATTTTCTGGGAGGGACCTTATATGGGGGTAGGGTCAAATATGGGGGAGATATTTTAGTTCCCCAAAAACTTGTTTACGTTGAATTTCGTTGCTTAACTATCATTTTATAAGAGTTAAAATCATTTTCTGAAGGGGAGCTTATATGGAGGTAGGGTCAATTATGGCCGATGTCCAAAAAATTTAGCTGAGATATTTCTCCTAAAACTTGTATGTGTCGAATTTCGTTGCATTGCTATCATTTTGAAGCAAGTTATGACCGTTATAGTCGTTTTATGAGAGGGACCTTATATGGGTGGTAGGGTCAATTATGGACCGATTCTCGTAAAATTTGGTAAGGAGATTTTGACTCATATAAAACTTGTTTATGTAGAACTTCATTGAATTTAGAATTTCATTGTTTTTAAAAAATCTATGACTGTTTACACGGTTTTCCAAAATTTCAGCTCCTTAGCTCTTCTCGTTCTTTTAACAGACAGACGGAGGGACGGATATGGCTAGATCGTCTTAAAATTTAATGAGGACCCAGAATGTCCTTATTAAATGTTGTGGGTCTGTGACCACTATTTCGATGTGTTACAAACGGAATGACAAAAACAATATACCCCCCATCTTTTTTGATGGTGGGTATAAAAATATATAGTCACCCTATCTATACCTATTCAAAAAGTGCTAACTTAAACTTGGGAACGAGAAACACATTATCGGCATTATAAAATCCTACCTTTAGTTATTGCCAAGTTGTATTAATGGGCCTAATATCTATAATATTCTATGGTTCCAATTTAGAATTTCCTTTAAATGTACAAATCTTTCCATAATTTAAAATATTTGTATTGAGAATAAGAAAAAGTAAACAAGTAGATATGCCAAGACTTTTCCTACTTAAATGGTGTAAATGCATCTTAACCCATTCGTTCTCACTGTACTCGCTTGGGTGCAAAAAAACAACCGGTTTTATAATGTTAGATTATCCATATTACTGAGTTTTTTGATTTTTGATTTTTGGGAAATTACTTTAGGATCTAAAGAGTAAATGTACCGAATTATAAAGTCATAAAAACATAACGGTAAATTTTAAATAATTTTTTGGTCAACAGAGTTTTTAAATTTTTTGATTTTTCGCCCCTTTCATTGCAATTTGATGTCAAAGTCATTCATTTTGAGTTGAATGGATTAGAATTTTACAGAAAAATAAAGTAAACAGATCAGCCCATTAGGATTTTGTTAAAAAAATAATTAAAAATTAGTTTTAAGTTAATTTTTATAAGCTTAAATATTGGTGTACTCGCTTGGGTACAATATCTATTAATATATCTTAATTATCTATTAAGGATGTTTATGTCCTTTTTGGTAAATATTTTAGAAGGCTTGTATCTTTATAATAAAATCAGTTCACATTTAGATTTTTTCATTATTTTTCCAAATATTGCCAAGAAATAGACAAAAAAGGATTTGCTAAATTCAGTTAATTACTGGAGGATCTAGCAGACAACATCTTCGGCGAATGGGAATTGTATGACAGTAGTGCCAGTGAAGAATACATCCCATTTGATGAATTTTAATTAATTTATTTTAGCACAAATATCAATAAAGTGTCGAAAAAGTGCACTGAATAATTAATCTAATGGAAAAATTCTCAATACTAATTGATTTGATTTTTTATGCAGGAAAGTACCAAAATATTAAAAAAAAAATAATAAAAATTGCTTTTTTTTATTTATTTGTATTTATACCCATATTGTCCCGCTGTTCCCATCCGAGTACAGCCCAAAAATCGAATTTCCAAAATTTAAAAATGTTTGTTTTTAAATTTTATTTTAAACTAGCTATACCCAGTGTGCTTTGCTACCCTAGAAGGAATATGTATAAATAAAAATCCCACTTAACGATTTTGAAGATTCTAACCACAATAGTTTTCTAGATTTATAATACGTTACATATGAGAGATGTAAAGCAAACTATTGCAAGTTCGCCAGTTTCTATCTATCGCCAATTTCTATCTATCTATAAAAAATTTGAATAATAGAAGAATTTCCAAGATGCACGAAATTTTGCATTTAATTTATACATGTTGTGCCAAGCCACCCATTGAAAGTCCGCCCCTTATGCTCTAAATGTTCACATGAATTTCAAAGTTCTTCATGTAAAATTTGAAGATTCTATCTCTAATAGTTTCTCAGCTATACATGAGAAAGTCCAAAATCTTCAGATGAATACTATACTAATTTGTGCAATATTTTAAGAATCAAGTTCTATTAGTTTCCCATATAAACGAATTTTATATTTAATTCATATGGGAGGTGCCAAGTTCCCCATTGAAAGTCCTTCCGTTATACTGTAAATGTTTAGATGAATGTCAAGATTCCTCAAGTAAAATTTGAAGATTCTAGCTCTAATATGTTGTGCCAAGCCACCCATTGAAAGTCCGCCCGTTATGCTCTTAATGTTCACATGAATTTCAAAGTTCTTCATGTAAAATTTGAAGATTCTAGCTCTAATAGATTCTCAGATATACGAATTTTTCTATTTGATTCATATGGGGGCTTCAAGCCCCCCCAGATGAAAGTCCGCTTTTTTTTCCTTCAAAATGTTCAGATGAATATTAAATTCTTCGTGCAAAATTTGAAGAATTTAGTTCCATTAGTTTTCCAGATAAACGAATTTTTGTATTTAATTAATATGGGAGGTACCGCTGCTCTCATCGGTAGTCCGCCAATTTATTACCCAAAATGTTTAGATGGATGTTAAAGTGATTCGTGCAAAATTTGAATTCTAACTGTAATAATTTCCAAGATAAACGAATTTTTGTATTTAATTTATATGAGAGGTGCCACGCCCCTTAATACTAGTCCGCCTACTTTTTGTCCTAAATAATTATATTGACACTAAAGTTGCTCCGACAAAATTTGAGGACTCTGTTATATTATCTCAAATATACGTATTTAATATTTTCCTAATATGGGCGTGGCTCCTCGCCCACTTGGAATTTCAAAATAAAAAGTAGCCTATTACCTATTCCAGACATACAGGAATACGCTGTGAAAATTTGAATAAAATCGGTTCAGCCGTTTAGTAGTCTATAACGTTCAAACATACAAACACACATTCATTTTTATATATATACTAGCTTTACCCAGTGTGCTTTGCTACCCTAAAAGCAGTATAAATAAAAAACCCACTTAACGATTTTGAAGATTCTAACTGCAATAGTTCTCTAGATTTACAATATGTTACATATTAGAGATGCCAAGCAAATTAATGAAAGTTCGCCAATTTCTATCTATCTATGAAAAATTTGAATAATATAATAGTTTCCAAGATATACGAAATTTTGTATTTCATTGATTTATGT